CCGATTTTTTACGAAATTTTACACGCTGGGGTGTGATTGGATTAGCAAACAAAAATTGATTTCGCGCAAACCAGACTGAGTAGATAGATTATTTCTACGCCAGAAAGGGTAAAGTTTCTTTTATATCCGCCGGTAATTCTAGTGACTACTTTTGCTAGTTTTTGGGGAATTATTTCACACTCAGCTGCGATCGTATACATGAATAGAATTGTTTTGCAAAACTATTAAATAAAATTTTTGCTTTAGACTTTTTTATAGTTATTTTACATGTTTTTGAGGACTTCTATTGTTTTTTCGTAGTGCATACTTTTATTTTTCCCTTCTTTAACGAGAAACTCTGGTCCAGAGTGCGCCAAACTTCTGAACACTATTGGATTTCCATTATCTTTTTTTACTTTTCCCGTATTAAAAAGGGCTAAATATATTTTTTATTAAATTCCAAATAAAAACATCGTTTATTTATTTTGAAGACTTTAAATTTTGTTAATATGGGTTTACTAATTGCGTCGCTATATTTGCTGATTTTTGACGAATTTTCCAACAGCGTAGTAATAATTGCAAACAATTAACACAAAATCAATTTATTGACATTCTATACAGTCCACATAAAGAAATTCCAGTATGGAAAAGTCTAGCATTTTATCATCTTGGAGCCTCGGAGCCGAACAAACCCACCTTGGAACACCTCATGATCGGAAGCCTCATTCATGTGATAGGTGAGGAGTTTTTCTGCAGAAAGAGGATGCCACACCCCAAAAGTGCATGCTTCGTTCTGCTCTGGGTCGTAGTAATGGCACCTTTTAGTCACCCTGGAGGAAGGAACGTACTCGACCACGTCCACTAAGTTGCAATGAGGCAAAAGTAGGCGAATTCCTATATGAGGAATTAGTCAAAAATCCAGTCGGTTGATTGGTACCTACCTAAAAAGCCTGAGGAAGGAGGATTTTTCCTCAACCGAAGCCGAGTGTTCCTCTGCAAAAAGTCCCAAACGTCCCAGATGGTCAATGGGTTGATCATGTAGATGCGAGGTTTCGCTTCCTGTTTTCTATACTGGATGAAGTTGGGGAAGAGATCGTGCTCAGGGCTTTGAATCCATTCATCCAAAGAGGCCGAGTAGTTGCTTGGGTCCCACACCACGAGACTGACGTTCTTGTAGAGGGAGGACTTGAGAAAGCCAAACTCCTCCTTAGTGACCACTTGGGAGTTTAGAAGACGCACTGTGGTTTTCGCACCAACATCTTCAGCGAATGTACGTGTTGGGGCTCGATTGAAGCGCAAAACTACATCGTGGGAATCTGGAAAGTAACCAGAAGGTTCATT